GACCTAAAATTGGGTGTGCAGGCAGGCATGCCAACCTGCAGGCAAGTAGCTTGCCTGCCTGCACGCCATTCTGCAATGGCGTGCAGGTGCGCACACCAATTCGCACCTGGCGTGCAGTTTGGCGTGCTCAATGGGGGTTGGCTTGCACTTATCAACCCCCCCACATGCTAATATCCCTCGTTCAAAATTTAGTTAGCCAAAAGGGAAAAAAAGAAAGGAAACCTCATATTGTTGGGACTGCATTGGCAAGAAAACGTACATCATCAAAAAGGGAGGTAATATCTGATGACTTGCACTCTGGAAGTGAAACTACTGCAGAAATGCAAAAATTACTTGCTATTGAGGTAGGTTTGGAGCCGGTGGGCCAGGAAAAAATTGATACTTCCCTCTGGACAATTTTAAGTGATCTACCTGAGGATGAAGTCCCACCTGGTGATGAAACCGGTAAGCTAAATATTCTCTGTTAAAGTTTTTATGCTCACATTCATTGATTTTAAGGTGCAAAAAAGATCATGGCTCTACAATTGCATCCACTTTTGTTTCGAAAATTCCAGTTCAAACAGTCCCAACAATCAGAACTGGAGATAATAAATCTACATGGTCGGAGACTCTGAATGATTATCAAGACATGCAGACTGAAAATAATACTAGTGTGTCTGCATTTCCTTGAAAAACATTATGTATTCCTTGGAACGAGTTACACTGTTCATTGAGTCAATCAATCTCCAAACAGCCATCTTGGACCAGGCTCAGGAATTGGTAGCGGTGGACCAAAAATCTAAATCACTGACAATTCAGGGTGATGGAGATAGCAGTGAAGAGGATCAAAGTGGTTGGGAGATGCGTCAACAGAGGGAGCTGTATGAGAGTAGTTTTCATTTTAAACAGAATAATTTGGTGTGGAATTTGACATTTTTTTACCTATTGCAGGTGATGAAAGTGAAGATTTCCATCCTCTTAGTGCATCTCAATTGGAATTAAATTGGACAGGTCAAGGTGCTTCAGGTCCCGTTAATTGGAATGAAAATTTTGCTATGGAGAAAACTGGTTGGGAGGGATGGAATGAGAAACCTCTGGAGGAATCAAGTCGGCGTTAATTGAACTGGGATGACTGGAGGATGGATTCAGATGAAGATAGTAAGAAATTTAACCATCCACCAGTAATCTCAGATGATTTGATTGTATAATTATTTGAATTATATTATCAGTTGACTCACTGACAAGAAACAATTAACTGGGTCGATGATTCTGAAACCAAAAAAAAATCAAGCTTGGTGAACAACAAATTTCTGGTGGATTCATTATTGATGGGGATGCAGGTAGGCTATTATTACAATATAAAGTATAACCTGAGACACTGTGATGCTTCCTTTTTGTTATGAATAAACATGGAAATTGAAAAACAGATGAGCATGAAGTGGCTTGCAATGATTCTGGATCATCCAATAAGAGGGAATCAATTTCACTGGTGGAACGTGCAAAGAAAGACTTTCAGGATGATTTTTGGCAACCATTCCATGTTTCAGACAACAGTGGGCCGCTACACTAACCGTAGCAGTTAGTTTAGCGTAACACAGCGGAATTGCTGTTAGTTCTAAGGGTAGCGTAGCAGAATTCCGCCACGACACCGCTAACGCTACTCATGTGGGCCGCAAAAAAGGGCCCACTACGCTGTGCTACAGCGCTTTTTGGCCGCTTTTTCTGCTAAAAGCGCTGTAGCGCAGCGTAGCATAGCAAAAAAACGCTAAAAAATGCTAACACTACACTTTTTTGATGAAAAAAAAGCGCTGCTATGCTACGCTTTTTGGGCCAAAAGTGTAGCGTAGCGTAGCGGACCACCACTGTTTCAGAGCATGACAAAAATGATAAAGGTATGTGATTTATTTAAATATTGTTTCAATTTAATATCTGATTCCTGATTTTTGATGGATTCAAGATAAAGTGGCTGCATTTTCAAAAGAGTTTGGAAGGAGGTCTGAGATTTTAAGAAAAACTGCAGTTCTTTCAAGACACAAGAAAGATAAGAGTAAGATCCCAGCAACTTCATCATTTCAAATGATTTGTGGTCAATTATCTGATATTTAATTGGTTTATTTGAAGATGATATGATTGAGAGATGGAGGGAAAGTACTCAAAAGACACCACTAAATTGGGGAGGTGGGGGAACTGATCCAGAACCCTACCTGTCAAGGCTCAATCCACCTAATATGGAAAACCGTAAACGGATGCAATCTTTACCTCTTCATGGAACATCAATAA